CTATTGTAATTTAGACCAAACATCCTATCTTAAATGTGATGAAATTCCATATAAGCATGCATCACAAAATTATACAAATTTGGAGAGACCTGGGAGGCTAAAACTAAGAATATAACAGATTTTTGCCAATGGGTTCAGATTAATACAAGCATTAGCAATACAAAAATCTGGCTTAAAAATTTCCCGGCTATGAAGGTAGGTAAAGAAAATGGGCCCCGAAAAAAGGCCATTTATCGTACAGCCGGCCATGTTTGAATAATTTAATATTACTGTATTTCATATTTTAATTTTTGCTCTATTATAGAAGGTATCAGAATATTGATATTGTGTTTAAGCGATGTGTCCACAATAATCCATGAGGACAAATAAATGCTGAATTTGAATTGAAAGTCAGCCATTTTGCAAATCAGTTATGTTTGTTTCCATGGTTGTTGTTTGACGCCAAAGATCTTTGTTTGATGCCATATCATTTAGAGGGCAGCAGACAGAAAGCTTTAAAACAGAAATTAATTCTAGTTCCATACGCATTCCCGTATCAACCTACCTTAAATGTTGAAACCATCGCGATCATGTCAATGAGACTTTCACAGACTATAAGGTCTAGACCACCTCAGCCCACCACATGGCTGGGGCTGAGTAAGAACATTTATGATCAGGGGCGGACTTAGCCCCCACCCCCCTTTAGAAAGTTTTAAAAAAAAATAAGAAAGAAAGGAAGGAAGGAACGAAGGAAGGAAGGAAGAAAGGAAGGATGGAAGGAAGGAAGGAAGAAAGAAAAAGAAATAATTGATCCGTTCTAGATGATAAAAAACGAAATTCAGAAAGTAACTCTAGAAAGCTATATAAGAAGCGCCAGAAACGATTACATATTTTGCGCCTGTTAAACAAATAAGTCCGAAATAAGATACTATACAGTAAAACCTCGAACCTTGCAAAGTCAAAAGGGGGCCTTCTTTTCAAAATGATTGCTGTAAATTTTGTGAATTTGTAATATAAAACAATAAAAGACCACTGTAACATCAACCTGTATCATGGAGTGTATTTAACCGGCTTTAAATCACCTAAACTACTGTATAAACCAAGCATGTTTTTAATTTTTTTTTTTTTAAATTCATGTACAGTGTACGTACAGTCTATCTCGAAAAGAAGCCTATGCTACCTTGAAAATGGGCTTCTTTTCGATGCTAATTTTGCAAGCTAAGTGTGGGTGGGGGGGGGCTTCAATTCGAGATGGGTTTTATCTCGAGATTAAGCACACTGGGCTTCAATTCGGTATGTTCTTTAAATTTATGGTACTAAGTGTCGCTCATTCTGTCTTGCTGTTTAGGGTGATTGTAGCCTATTAGAGCCAAAGATAAGAATGACCGAATGACCAATTCAAAAAAAAAAAAAAAAAAATTAAGTTAATTATGAAAATCCCGGTTGATAACCTGAAACTGAAATGAGGTATGCGACAGCTTACCTAAACTTATTATGTCACAAAATCTTCACCCACTTTTTGGAGAATGTATACCTACCGGTATCATCTATTTGTCGACTTCGTATAAGGTGCATTCCCAACCACTGGATTTATAAACACCTTTATTCCTTCTTCCCGGATTGTAATTGTTAATCGGTCTTGCCATAGATAATGTTCATTCATGTTGATTCTTATTGTTATCTGATCTTTTGAACTGAAAAATTGTATATTTTTTTTTTACTCTGTAAATTTTTAAAAGTATTTTTATAAATTAAATTTGATATTGAATTTTTTCAGAAATTGTTAATCTAATTATCGAATTTATCAATTTGTATTAGGTCTATTGCATTTTACGCTGTGAATTTTAATCATATTTTTATAAACTATTTTCTTATTGAACTTATTTTTTTTGGAATTGTTAATCTAATTATCGAATTTATTAATTGTTTCTAACTTTTTTGTACTCAAATTGTGACTTTTATCTCCACTGCATTTTTAATCGATCTTACCATAAATTGTACTCATTCTTTGCTGCCATAAATAATAATAATACTGTAAAGAGTTGAGGTAATTGGACGTGACAGTGGGAGACCTCTAGGCCTATTTTGATTTCTGAGCTGGTCCTCTTTCCCAGAAACAGGACCAGTAGAATAGGAAATTTGGAGGTACACGCTGGCCATCATCTCTCTTGTTTAATTTGCAAAAAAACCAAAAAAAAAAAAAAAAAAAATACTCTCGTCGACTCAGTTAAAAATCACATGTTGCCAACTAAACGCTCTCAATCGAACACTCCCATGACTTAACTTTCGTACCACGACTAGCACCGCATGAATTACACATACTGTATTATCATAAAATATCGATATTTATAATATTATTTATATTTCCATTGGATCAGAAACTAAAGCCCGATTTCCAACAGCTACATGCCATCTTGATCGTTTTTGGCGACGCTAATTGATCGGTTGAATTGTGTATTTTTTCAGATTGCGTCGGGGACACCTACGCAATGTACGCCTAAGCATTGATTTTATGTAAACCAAAGCTTAAATTACAAAACCATGCTTAGGGACATCTTAACTTTTTTAACTTAAGACATTTGCTAGGCTAAGATTGATAAATCTAAGGCCTGGACCGCAAACTTTGCATGGGCTTATTTTCAAGACGGGCTTATTTTCAAGGCTACTTTTGCAAAGTAAAGAGGGGGGCTCTTTTCAAAATGACTACTGTCAATTTTGGGAATTATTACTATAAAACAATAAATAGGGCCACTGTAGCATCAGTCTGTATCATGGAGTGTATTAACCGGCATTAAATTACCTTATAAACCAAATGTGTTTTGAATTTAAGCCCATTGGGTTTCTATTCAAGGTTTTATGGTGCATCATTTTGTATCATCATTTAGCCACCATTTGAAAATATCTGGCCACTTCATATATGTGCAGGGTCTATTCAATCATTTCAATGTATTCCTTAAAAAAGACTTGAATTTAGTCTTTGGACTTCCATATGCTACATGTCACCTGAATGTACTATATATGTGTATTAACATATGTATTTCATGTTTTTTTACACAGAATAATCCACATTAACTACACAGTGGTTAGATTGATCAATACAATTTTAATAGCAGAAGCATTCCACAGTATTTTGATACATCTAAAAAAATAAAATAAATGAACGCCTTCATGTTTAATGGAAAATTTCAGGCGGCCAAAATTCATCGTCCATGTAGGATACTAACTTGCCATCAAAGTCTCTCTTCTCTCGTATAACATTCTCTTCCCACTGATTTTCTACAAGCTTATACAGGTCCAGTGCAGATCTTGCATCATCGACAGAACAGTGTTCTCCAACTTGAATATCCCTGCCTAGCAAACACCTTACGAGGTACCGCAATGAAGGCGTCCATGAACTTTCACCTATATTTGTTAATTCCTTCATAAGTTTATATTCTGCTGTGTCTCGAAGCGAGTGCTTAGGATGGTTTAACTTCAGCGCAGCAAAATCATGGTGTAGGCTATGACCGACAACGATCTTGTTTCTGAGAATCTCTTGCACTTCCGTCTGAGCTTGGTTGAAGCAGACAGCATCCTTAAGATTTTCCTCACGGATGCCGCTCCATTTTGTACGATAATCCGTGACGAGATTCTGCGGCTTTACATACTTATCGTAGATAATATTACCGTGAAAGTCAACTATACTGCATCGGGCTAGTGCATCCACTCGGCCTTTGCTGCCGGTACCAACCATTTCACAATCCAATGCTACAATACTTTCTCGATTACCATTGCACTTTTCTGTAACTTGAGTATTACTCGTAGATGGCTGCGTAAGCAGTTCTTCAGTTTTATCCGTTTGTCCATCTTCTACCATTTTTGAATTATGCAGTAATTCTTTGTTTACACTCTGATTTAGGCAGTTCTTAATATTATCATTATTCTCATTTTTATGCTTTTCTTTCCACCTTAATAATCGTTCAATCCGCCTGGGAAGTAATTTGACGGATCCGGTCTTCTTTCGGGACTTTTTAGATGCACATCCCTGATTATCTGGTTGTGATCTCTTGATGCCTTTACTTATTTGTAATCCATCCATTGTCGAAAGGAGCGTACTGTCAATTGATTTTACTAGTTGTTCAATCTGAAAAATAATTTACATGAGAACGTTTAATCAAACTAAGGAAATGGTAAGATATTTACAAAGGAAAAGTCATGAGACCACAAAAATGTTAATGATTTTATAAAAACAATCTGTTACTAAGAAAACTAACAACTCATGACTCGGCCCAGTGTTTGTAAGTGACCTCATTCTTAATTGTGCGCATAGAGGCTTTTTCGCATGATGCGCTCTACAAATCCAACTATTATTATTTTATTTCTTTTTTTTCTTTTTTTTGTAACATTAAGCTAGATAAAAATTAAAACCATTTGAAGATAAACATGATGAAACTTTGCCAATGTTACAATGTACTGTATAATGTACAGTACATCCACTAGTTTAGTACTGTTGTATATTTAAATTAAACATTGCGCAAAGTATGAGCAGAAATCTGCCCTTATTTAAAAAAAAAACGAACTGACAGATCGTGGTGCTAATTTTCATTCAAAATCAATCACCCAGTAAAAACATTTGAACCTAGATGTAGCAGCCAAGGTCTAATAATATTATGCAGACAACAGATCACAATTCATTCATAAAATCATTGACAATGATTAATGATATGAATTGTTTTGAATTGACCTGATTTTGGAATAATTAATTAAGCCTAGCTAGGCCTTAGCCCTGGTCACCTAGCTAGGCCGAATTTAATTATGTACTACTATTTTTGATTAATTTTTAAAATTACTTTGATGTCATTAGTCCTATATGAGAATGACAAAGTATAATTATATATATAAATAATAAAACTTACCTAAGTTACCCAGCTAGGCACCTATAATATGGCTAGGGGCCTAGGCCTAGTTGGTTCGTAATGGACGGTCTTGCTTAAGCCTAAGGTCGGCTGGAGGTAGGTCCGTGCCGTGATATAAGAACACCGGCTGGATTGCAATTGCTCTCTCTTGATTGGCACTTAATAATAGTTTAGTAGTAGTAGTATGTACGTAGTTGTAGTGTAATATTAAGTGTAAGACAACCTATCTTGGGAAATTAAAATCTAATAATTGCCTTTGGGTTTTTGTATTGAAAATTTTGCCACGTGCACCACCACGACATCTTACACCATACTGTGGCGTGTTGCGAAATCACGGAATTAGTACTAAACTATGGAACGCCCACAGTGCCTTCGGCGCCGTACTTTTCGTTCGACGCGCAAATAGCATTCAGTGTTGCATCGTACGGCGGCGGGTTTGTTCGGCGCAAATATCTTTTGGCTGTGACGCGACTTTACGATTCGGCAGCGACTATAGCTTTAGCATTCGGTGAAACTAGCATCTGACAACTAAATCATTCGGAGATTTTGGCATTCGGTGACAGCGTTTGCTCCTATCTACAAGGGGCCGGGTCCGAACCCAGAGCTGAGAGAGAGAAAAAGAGAGAGGCTAGGTTTACACTAGAGCTTCGGCCACGGGCCCAGACTAAAAATCCCTGGTGTAGGGTTCATAGGGTCGGGAGTTTTTATGGCTTACTATGAACCAAAATTGAGCTTTTATATATAAGAATTGAAAATCAAAATTACGTTATTTGGATAGACAAATTAATATTTTTGATCCACGCGAAATCTTAACTGGTAACTTCAATGTCTACGTACACAAGATTATTCTAAACGAAAAAAATCTAGTGCTTCGTTGTCTATTTTTTACAGTCTTCTTACATTGTATTTGTTCTTTAATACGTGGCGTAGGCTGATTGTACCGACACATACCGCTCCCCCAGGCCAAGACCAACCTACCAGGGGTGGCTACAGCGCGGAGGGAGACGGGTGTCCGGGAGAGCTTCCCCTCCTCCCCCCCCCCCCACGCCTGGGAGAAAAACCAGAATTCCTCTTGGGGAAAAAACATTTAAATATTTTCTACATATTTTGAAGACTCTAAAATTAATTAAATAAAGCCCTTGAAACTCCTAAACTGTCAAATAAGGTGGATTTTCATGGTAACGTCCTGCCGACCACGCCCACTTTGCTCTCGTCGGCGACATCACCCCCCACCCCTCCGACCCCCGTCTGGCAAACCTTGGCGCCATCCCTGCACCCTACGTTCCTGTTATTCATTAGTAAAATTAAAAGGCGTTCTATTATTGAATTATTAGTAGCAATTAGACCAGCAATGCTTTTTTGCAGTCGGCATATCTGGGGAGGTGTGGGGGGGGGGGAAGTGATGATGATAAAATTATTAAATTAAAAAAAACCCAATACTGACAATAATGTTCTTGGCCTTCATCTTTTGCCGGTTTGGTCAGTGGATCTATTGCCTACTATGTTTTGGTACTTGTCATTTTTGGTTTACCGTACTCGTGCGAATAAGCGCCCCGTTTGAATAAGCGCCCCTTCTAATTTGAATAAGCGCCCCTCATAAGATTTTCTTTTTAGCAAGTCAATAATCCAATCAATCCTGGGACTGTGGTTGTTGGCATGATTTGAGATGTAGAGTGGAAACACATTCTTTTTCAGTCAATATCAAAATGAGGATATTTCTCTTGGACAGATGAGAGCTCCGATCCCTGGACAGACAGTATATTTCCAACTTTACTCTTTTTACATATTTGTCTATGCCTAGTCCTACTCTTTTAATGGCCAGTAATTGGGGACGTAATGAGTATTTAAAATGTCCACTAAATAATCTTAGATAACATAGTATAATACATGACCATGTATAATTGACACAGCTGTATATTGCATCTTTACATTTCTTTAGTTAGACTTTTTTTTTATTATTATTCCAGTGTTATTTATACTGTAATTCTATTTCGTTCTTACAAGCTCATCAGATTGAGAGAGTCCAGTCTAAATTTTTATATTTTTTAAATCACAATTTTAAAAATGACGATATTGTTTCATACGCACTTCCCTCACTTAGAGAAATATTTTTGATATGGTTTTTCTTTTTAAATGTGTTAATTCTATTTTTGGTACTATAGTTTATGTTCTTTATTCCCTCTTAAGATTAATAGACATGGCTCTGGCCGTCGTAATGACCTATTTTTGGTTCCCTTTAACAGAGTCAATAAAAATGGATTTATTCATCGTCTTGCCAACTTTTTAAATAACCTTTCTCACAATTTTACGTCAGTCGATATTTTTCACAAGAGCCTTATTTCATTCAAAAGCAGCTTATCGCAATCTTTAATACATAATACCAAGTGGCTTATTTTCTGGGTGGGTTAATTCCTTTATTCCTTTGTTTGTCTTTTTCTTTGTTTTTGATTTTTTTGTCTTGTTTGTGTGCTTTCTTTTTTTCTCACCTTTGTTCTGTGTTCTGTATGTATTTTTATGTGTTTTTTTCTGTTCTGTATTGTCTAGCTATGTTTTTAATTGCTCTGTTCTGTCTGTGTGTTTCTGTTGTACCTGTGTTCTGTCTGTATTTGTATGTTTACTTATTTCTATTTGTATTTTTTATTTGTTTTATCTTCAATTTTTAGCTTAAGATGTTCCTCTTCGCAATATTTTAGTAAATTTTCATTAATATCAAGCTGTCAATTACCAAATCACAAGGACAATCGGAAAGTTGTCGTGTGTAATCAGAAATATTCGGCATAATAAATTTGGAAAAAGTTAGGGCTCCCGTCCGCACAAAAGATATATATTGACAATGATGGAACTTTGACTGCGATTGACAAAAAAACAAAACATAACGCAACATAATCAAAATAGAAACATTACTATTGGAAACGTTCAATTCGGCGATTCTGTTTCATTCATATGTAACAAATATTCATTATCATTACGGAGTCGCCGATATGTTGATAAGTCTCTTTATTATTAAGTCTAGTAACAATGCCAGAAGTGGTTTGGGTTACTTTGATATTCCTAATTCTTTTAAAGTCAGGCTCCGGAAGAAAAAACACATTGATATGTTGTAGAACTGATTTTTCTAAGACAGAAAAAACGTAGTTTGATCAAAAACTAAGCAACGGTGAATGAGATACAGATTTTTGAATATTTAAAAACTGGGGGAAAATGTGCTGTTACGCCCCTTTCCCCCCACCCCAGCTTTTAAATATTCAATAACCTGTATCACGTTCACCGTTAACCAGTTTTTCGTCAACTTTTTTTTCTGTCTTAGAAAAATCAGTTCTACAACATATCAATTTTTTCCCTCCGGAGTCTGCCAATTTTTGTAACTTAGGGGCGTATTTGTCAGGAACTAGATGGCTGGAATTTACTCTCAGACTAAAAGATTGTTGCTCTTTAAATTTGAATATGAGCGAGCCCTATACAAATATTATGTTATTAATTTGATTATTATTATTTATAAATATTAAAATAGTATAGCTTAGTTGGCCGCAATATATAAACTGTGCTTTGCTGTAAATGTAAATTGTAAGTGTTAAATGATATACAGGATCTGTCATATATTCAACTTGTGTAATTGTGTAACGTACATTTTATCCTATTAAAAGTCTCGTCTCTTTTTTATTGTATTATGGCTGTACAGTGTGTTACTTTTATGAACACACTGCAAGAGCGTGTCTGCTGTTTTAAAAGCGTCGTTTCCAAAATATAGTTATAGTAATTATATAATTAATAGTATGCAATAGAAACAGCAAATTATTTTTAAGATTATAAAACATCACCTTCATTTTCATTGTCATTCGTATTTATACAGGCTGTACAAACATTTGAAATTAAGAAGAATCATTTTTTAATATTGTTTAGTGAACAACTTTTAAAGGTCGTCAGAAAAGGGCGAAAATTATTATTTTTTCTAATTTAGCTTAAATATCTTTCCGAACGCATGTAGGCGAATGAGAAAATAAAAATAAAATTTTAATGATGAACGTAAAC